TCACAATTGCCCTAATTCTTCAAACACTCGAGCACAATGCTTCCAAGCTTCCCTTCATTAATGGCGTCCACCACTTTCTCAATATCTTCTCCAGGGCTCACCTTCTTCGCTCCACTGAGCAGCTGAGTACCTACTTCAGTCCTCACAAAGCGATAGATCGGGTAAGTGCTGCATTTCTTGATTCTATTTTCCACTAAGAATTCACCATTCTCAAATCTCCCTCTCGCATTTTCCACATCGTTTTCCAATTTCTCCTTTAATTCCTCAAGAAACCCCGGGATTTGCTTGAAAATTGCAATGCCTGTTTCGTTTCCGTTCTCGTTTTTGGCTGTTGCAATCCCTTTCAGCGCTCTTTGGACTAGAACTTCCAGTAATTTTGGGATTAGGGCGTATGAGGTGTTCGTAGGATCGTCGATGTAGGAGAAAACTGGTTCGCGATCGATTACTTGCAATAGATCTTTCTCGCAGAATCGCGATTCGGTGAGAGATCCGTAGTCTGTAACGTATAGTGTTCTTCTGATTGTTTGTAGAACTGCGTTTCTCACAACTTCCCTCATATTTTCTTCTTGTTGTCTTAAATCGATTGCTTGGCAGAGCGCCACCATGTATGTAGCGGACATGAGCTTGAGAATCTCGATGGCTTCGGCGGATTTTCTGGCTGAGATTAGACCTAGAGAGTTAACATCTTGATTGTGTTGTTCTGCACTCTGGACATGAGTTGTGACAGGGTTTGCTAAGTATTGGAGCTCGGAGCAATAAGCAGCCATGGCGATTTCTGCACCTTTGAAGCCGTAATCCAAGCTAGGGTTTGGTCCACCGCTCAAATTAGACGGCAATCCATTGTTGAAATGATCACAGACGAGTTCGGAGAATTGGGCGAACATTAGCTTACCAATTGCAGCGATGGCGATTCGGAGATTATCCATGGAAACTCCGATTGGGGTCCCTTGAAAGTTTCCTCCGTGCAGAGCCAGATTCCGGCTGACATCGATCAATGGATTATCATTCACAGAGTTGATCTCCCTTTCAATCGAATGGGTTGCCATTCGAATGACTTCGATTTGAGGTCCAAGCCATTGTGGGGAAGTTCGAAGTGCATAGCGATCTTGTTTTGGCTTAGTTAATGGGTTGTTTTCATGGCGGATTTTTGCTTCTTTCATGAAGTCGCTTTGGTTCAAGAGTAACTCCATGGCTGCGGCGGACTCAATCTGGCCAGGGTGATGCTTGAGTTTATGAGTCAATGGGTCTGCAAATTCTGGCTTCCCGAGCATGGCTTCACAGAACAAAGCAGAGAGAACGACGGCTAAAAGAGCCAAGATATTGGCGTCGTAGCAAACAGTGGCGGCCACGGCCGACCCGACAGCGGTTCCGTTGACAAGAGCTAAGCCTTCCTTTGCTTGAAGCTCAAATGGGCCTGCAATTCCAGCTCTGTTGAGAGCTTCCATGGCAGTGATCTCATCCCCTTCAATGGTGGTAACCTTGGAATTATGCCTTCCAGTGATAACCCCAGCAATATAAGACAATGGAACAAGATCTCCAGAAGCTGTGATTGTCCCTCTCAAAGGCAATTTAGGTACCAAATTCTCATTCATGAGCTTCACCACAGCTTCAAGAATTTCCCAACGAATACCCGAGTAGCCTTGCATCAATGTGTTAGTTCTAACAAGCATGGCTGCCTTTGAGTATCCAGATGGAAGATTATCCTTTCCAATAACTCCAGCATTGAGGAACCTAATGAGTTCTGTTTGGAGGTCGGCGGCTTTGGTCGTACGCCGGTGGGAAGTCGAACCAAAACCAGTGGTAACTCCATAGATATCAGTTCCACTAGAGATTTTCTCAGCAACCCATGTTGCACTTTTGGCCACACGATCATGAGCCACAGCTTCATTCAAGTTTACCTTGACATCGCTACGACGAGCAATGGCAGTGACCTGAGCGACAGTAAGGGTGGCACCTTCAATGTCAACAACTCGAGCATCTTGAAACTCCGATAGCATACGACAAACCTCCTCAAGATGGGTGTGGCTGAGAGCGTTCGCAGCCTTGTTCCAGTAGTCAGAGGGCGAAACGAAGGAAAATGATTTCGATTGAGGAACGGAATCGGGTTGGGAGAGAGGTGAGGAGCAGAAGAATTCAGAGTTGGCCATTAGAAGAAGAAGAAGAAACTAGCAAAGAAGAAAGGGTGAGTGAGTGCACTCAGAGAACAGATTCTTGGATGAGTTGTGGCCTTTGGAGGAAGAAATGGGCACGAATTTATAGCAAATTTTGACCGTTGGTTTCTAACTTCTTGTCGAAGTTGAAGATGAACTTCTTAGAAAAGTTGCAAATCACAGAACCTTCCCTTGCATGAGAAAAGAACAACCCTATTTATTTTTTTTATTTTTTTTATTTTGCACGGTAGTTTCTTAAAGAAATTCACCATTAATAAATCTTAAATTTAGTCTTCCAAAATTAATTTTTATTAAAATTTGTTATACAGTAATATTAATAATTTTCATGCAATAGATTAAATTTAAAATTTATTACAAGTTTTAAATTATAAGGGCTAAAATGTTATTTTAACCTATTATTTATTATTTATAAAGTATGTTATAAAAACTATTGCAAAAAGTGAACTTTTAATTTTCAATTTTCTAATATAATTTATATTAAAAATATAAAACGTCCTAATAAATCTAATAATATTTTATAAAAAAACATATAATATAATATTAATATTTTAAAAATTATTTATTTATTTAGCGGGGATAGGGATAGGGTCGGGGATTGGAGTAGGGTCGAGAATATATACTTTTAAAATAATAGTAATTGACAACCTCCTTTGATGTGACATGACATTTCTATGTTTTAGTTATATATGAATTTTGCCTTCACATTTACCATCTTTTTTCTGTTTTCTTTTTCTGAAATTCCATGATTTTTATGATGTTTTTTCTTTTCAAATTCAATGCCATTTTTAAAATGTGATTTTCATTTTTCACCCCACAAATAATATTAAATTAGACTTCGAACAAATAAATAACATTTGATAAATACTTTTTTTTTTAAAAAAAAACTCAACCAAGTCGTGTGCACCTCAATAACTTCACGAGACAACTACAATATCCTATAATATTTAAGTGTGAAAAAAAAAACGTGAATGTTCGGACCTGTTTATAACAATTATATATCATTGAATAAGGGATTAGTTTTAAGTTAATTATTTTTTATTTAATATTTTGGATTTAAATTATTTAATTTTCTCGTAAGTCAACATATATTATTAAAAAAAAACGAAATTGTTAGGGAGTTTCTCTCCTTATTAAGTGGAATCTTCCAATAAATAAAAAAATTTGCATAAATTCCAACCATACTGTAACGTCTCAGATCCACTGCTAGCAAATATTGTTCTCTTTGAACTTCCTCTTTCGAACTCCCCTCAAAGCTTTAAAACATGTCTGGTAGGGGAAGATTTCACACTCTTTTAAATAGTGGTTTGTTCTTCTCTCCAACCAATATGGGACATCACACACATATATAAATAAGTCAACTCCAAAAGCACGTGCATATATACAAATATACATACCTAATTTTTTTCATTAAAAAGTTTATTCCATAAAAATTAACATAATTATGTAAATTAAAATGATGGTAATTACCTCATTATTAAGTACAATATAAATTAAATTTTCAAAGGCATAAATCCGTCATAATAATAAAAAAAAATTAAAAAATAATAATAATTTTCCAAGTCTTTGGTGGAACCCACCCCATGGAAAATCAAGTCCTAGCTAGGTAGAAAATATGTGGATATGAATTAAATAATATATATATTAGAAATTTCCATTATTTTTCTTCCTAAAAAAGAAAAGAAAAAAAAAAGAAAAAAAAGGGTCAATTCCATGTGAAGTTGCCCAACAATTTCTTTGCAATTTCAAGCCTATGATAAATCATTGTTAGGTAGAAAATATGTGGATAAGAATTAAATAAAATATATATTATAAAAATATCTCTAATATATATATATATATATATTCTAATTTTTATTTTTTTAATAATACTCTTCGACTTTTAAATATATTTACCGGTAGAAGTTATTAGTATTTTTTAAAAAATACTCTTGTTTTCGGTACCACGTAAAAAAAATATATTCATAAATTTTTAAAAATAACACTCTTAATATTTATAAAAATAAGAAAAATAAAAAGGTCGTGGGTATTTTTAAAATATTAATGGTAAAGATATTTATTAATTTTTTAAACAAATAAAAATAATTTGGGAAGTTATTAAAAAAAAAAAAGTAAGGATATTAATAAAAACATATTTATTAATTTCAAACCTAGTATAATTCCTTATCGTTCATTGTGGGGGCCACTAAAAAATCATTTTTATTTTTAAAAATTATTGTTAATTAAAAGTAGGTACAATATTTGTCGTTCTCCACGGCAATTAATTTTTTTTTTTAATAAAGAACACAATTATTATTTTTTTATTTTTTTGTAATTTATAAGAAGTCCTAGAGTTTTTTTTTTTTTAATTTTATATTTAATAAGTACATAACTAATTTTAAAAAAATAATTTATTGATATTTTAATATGAAATAATATGATATATTGATATTTAAATACAAATTCATAACTTTTCAATTTTGTGTATAATTAATAAAATATCTAACCATTTTATTTTATTTCTTAATTACAGCTCTTGATATCTACTTAATAGCTAATAAATTTAATTTAAATTTTCAATATATTAGTTTCCATAAATATTAGAAAATACAAAAAACAAAATACCAATAACTAATTTAAAATTAAATTAAAACAATTAGTTATTTGTTTTTAATTAACTAAATTAAACTGCAAAATCAAGAATAATTGCAGCTGATTATATATATATATATATATATATTATATATATATATAAATAAATAAATAAAAAATAGTATCTCTGCCTTGGCTTTCTTTTCTTTCTTTTTGCATTTTAAATTATCATACAATTAAAATTAGTTGGAATCCAAATAGTTCATATCAAATGGCACTCTGACTCTCTGCCATACATACATACATACATGCATGCATGCATATATATATAGAGAGAGAGAGATATATATATATATATATAGAGAGAGAGAGAGAGAGAGAGAGAGAGGGTGGAAAGAAGGAGCCTCCGAGTTAATGTTTCATTACTACTGCAGCACATTCCGTTTGCTCTGAGAAGCCTGAACTGCAGCCAACTTCTTACGATCAATTTGGAGAAGAAGACCAAATCAATGTAGTTCTAAGCCCCATTTGCCAGCAACTCATCTGGTGCCAAAGGCTGTGAGACCAGTATAACAACACAAACCATCAACAATCGAAGGCAAAATGTTCTGTTTCGTCGAATGAAGGCTAGTGTTTATTACATAACGGTTAAGAGATGCATTGTAGGAGACTAAACCTAATGCTAGCAGATATTGTGTTCTTTGGATTTTTCCTTTTGGCTTTCTCTTAAGGTTTTAAAATGCGTCCGTTAAAGGAGAGGTTTCCACGCCCTTTTAAGGAGTGTTTTGTTCTCTTCTCCAAACGATGTGGGATCTCACAATCCACCCCTTGAGAACCAGCGTCCTCACTGGCACACTACCCGGTCCCTGGTTCTAATACCATTTGTAACAACCCAAGCCCACCGCTAGAAGATATTGTTTTCATTAGGGTTTCTCTTTCGGTTTCCTCTCTAGGTTTTAAAACACGTTTGTTAGGGAGAGGTTTCCACACCCGTTTAAGGAATGTTTCGTTATACTCTCCAACCGATGTGAGATTTCGCAATCCACTTCCCTTGGGGGCCAACGTCCTCGCTGGGACACCGCCCAATAACTAACTCTAATACCATTTGTAACAGTCCAAGCCTACCACTACAGATATTGTTCTCTTTGGGCTTCCTCTCAAGGTTTTAAAATGCGTCTGTTGTTGAGAGGTTTCCACACCCTTATAAAGAATGTTTTGTTCTCCTCTCCAACCGATGTGGGATCTCATAATCCACTTCCCTTAGAGACCAACGTCCTCGCTGGTACACTGTCCGATATCTGGCTCTGATACTATTTGTAACAGTCCAAGCCTATCGCTAGCAAATATTGTCCTATTTGGGTTTTCCCTTTTGGGCTTCCCCAAGGTTTTAAAAAACGCATATGTTAGGAAGAGGTTTCCACACCGTTATAAGGAATGTTTCGTTCCTCTCTCCAACCGATGTGGGATCTCACAATCCACCCCCCTTGAGGGCCAGCGTCCTCGCTGGCATACCGTCCGGTATCTGGCTCTAGTACCATTTGTAACAGCCCAAGCCCACCATTAGCAGATACCGTCCTATTTGGGCTTCCCCTCAAAGTTTTAAAACGTGTCTGTTAGAGAGAGGTTTTCACACCCTTATAAGGAATGCTTCTTTCCCTTCTCCAACCAATGTGGGATCTCACAATCCACCCGCTTGGGGGCCAGTGTCCACACTGGCACACCGCTCGATGACTGGCTCTAAGATCATTTGTAACAGCCTAAGCCCACCGCTAGCAAGTACTATTCTCTTTGGGTCTTTCCTTTCGGGCTTCCTCCAGATTTTTAAAACGTGTCTATTAGAGAGAGGTTTCCACACCCTTATAAGGAATGCTTCGTTATTTCCCTCTCCAACCGATGTGGGATCTCATGTGCACCAATCGCTACTTCCAGAAACACGAAATGATGAAACAATAAAATGACGAAAATGAAATGTAATGGGTAGTCCAAGGTTCAGTAATATGGATGAACATTCGAAAAAACATAAATGAATTGTACAAGTGCTTCCCAGATTCAGAAATGTAGATGAATCTAAATAAAACAGGACAAGTCAAGCTAGCTGCATTTAGTCCACAAAGAGTGTTTCATCATCATGTCAGCAAAGAAATGCTTTCATCTTTAACTAATCTAGTTCATGTAAACCATGCAAAGACTTTCTATTTGTTTCATTTGAATGACCTATCGACCCGAAATAAGAACTGGGGAGAAAGGAGTTCGATCGTTAGTTATATTAAGAAATAATCGAACCTTTGTCGTCGCCTGATGGTTCACGTTCTCCGTTCTCCGGTACGTTTTGATCAAGGAACTGCTGTATTGTTCTCCAGTAATGATCGCCACCAGCTACCCAAGTGTCCATATGCATACCGGAGAGAAAATCGACAAAGAGACAACGGTTATTATGAGCAGCTGCTTTGGCGTACAGCCTCTGCATGTGGACTGGGGGAACCATCTCATCTTGTAATCCAGATAAGAAAAGAATTGGCTGCTTAATCTGTAGAGATGATATCAAAGAGAGTTACTTACCACTGAAGCAAGCAAATAATGTCAAAAATATAACTCGAGTGTTGTAACAGCTCAAGCCCACTGCTAGTAGATATTGTCCACTTTGGCCCGTTACGTATCGTCGTCAGTCTCACGGTTTTAAAACGCGTTTACTAGGGAGAGGTTTCCACACTTTGGAATGTTTTGTCCATGTGGGATATCACAATCCGCCCCTCTTAGGGGTCAGCGTCTTCATTGGCACGCCGCTTGGTGTCTGGCTCTGATACCATTTGTAACAGCCCAAGCCCACCGCTAGTAGATATTGTTCGCTTTGAACCGTTACGTATCGCCATCAATCTCACGGTTTTAAAACGCATCTACAAGGGAGAGGTTTCCACACTCTTATAAGAAATGTTTCGTTCCTCTCTCCAACTGATGTGGGATATCACAATCCACCCCTCTTGGGGGCCCAGTGTCCTCGCTAGCACACCGCTCGGTGTTTGGCTCTGATACCATTAGTAATAGCCCAAGCCCACCGCTAGTAGATCTTGTCCGCTTTGGCCTATTATGTATCACCGTCAGCCTCACGATTTTAAAACGCGTCTACTAGGGAGAGGTTTCCACACCCTTATAAGGAATGCTTTGTTCCCCTCTCCAACCGCTGTGGGATCTCACAATCCACCCCACCTTGGGGGCCTAACGTCCTCGTTGGCACACCGCTTGGTGTCTCGCTCTGATACCATTTGTAACAGCTCAAACCCACCCCTAGTAAATGTTGTCCGATTTGGCCCATTACATATCGACGTCAACCTAATGGTTTTATAACGCGTCTACTAGGGAGAGATTTCCACACCCTTATAAGGAATGCTTCGTTCCTCTCTCCAACCGATGTGGGATCTCACAATCCACCCCCCTTGGGGGCCAGCGTTCTCGCTGGCACACCACCCAGTGTCTGGCTCTTGATACCATTTGTAATAGCTCAAGCCCATGGCTAGTAGATACTGTCCACTTTGGCCGTTTCGTTTCGCCGTCAGCCTCACGGTTTTAAAACGCGTCTACTAGGGAGAGGTTTCCACACCCTTTTAAGGAATGCTTCGTTCCCCTCTTCAACTTACGTGGAATCTCACACGCGTGTGCTTTAGAAGTTGATTTAAATCACTATTTTTCGGATTAATACTTTAAATTGTTAAGCCCCACCTTACCAACTACGTCAATGGTGATCCATGGAGAACGCACAAGAAAATTGAGAACCTTGGGACCTTTTGAACCAGGGCCTCCAATAAACCATTTCAGAAAGGGTAGCAAAACTCCAGCCATATCCAAAATTGATGTAAAAGTATTTTCTAATATCAATGCAGCAACCTGCAATTCAGAATCTTGTAAACAACCTACAAAATGCAGAATAAAACGCACAAAAAAGCTCGACGAAGAACAACGTAAAGCCCTACGTGACATTATCATGATCCACAATGAATTACCCGTTTATGGGGTCAAATCAATACGTTCGAAAAAGCCATCAATCGAATCGCTTTTACGAAAAACACGAGACATCTAAGTCATACAAGTAAAAGGATATACAAGAGGCTATACACAGCTAACCGTAGCCCTCCTAGAAATACCTTATCGGGGTTGTTTTTGGTAAGAACTGATCCAACAGCACCCCCGAGTGATCTTCCGAACACTATTATTCTAGACGTGTCGATATCAGTCCTTTGAGAAAGATGATCCAATGCAGCCTGCTCAAGTAAAATAAAAGCATAATGTTTTTAAGTACACTTGTTGAAAAAACATAATAGAACAAATTAAGAACAAAGCACACCTGAGCATCTCTAGTAATTCCAAGCTGAGATGGATAGCCATCACTTGCTCCATAACTGCTTGAGGACATATGGCATCAGTGACCATTCCATTAAAGTAGCAGCAATATATATCAACTAACATATTGCTACTGAAATACATTAAAAGAACATACCCTCTGTAAGAAAGCATGAACACATTGCACTGTAACTTTTGTATCATGATGTGGACCATTTCGAGACGATGGGCAATGTCTAGAGCCGGAAGTCAAGGTCAAAAATAGTTATCGAACCCAAAAAACCATTAACATATTGTTAGAAATCACGACACTCTATAATGGTATGATATTGTCCACTTTGAGCATAAGCTCTCATGACTTTGCTTTTAGTTTCCCCTAAAGTCTCGTACCAATGAAGATAGTAATCCTTATTTATAGGCCAATGTGGACTCCCTCCCAACAATCCTTAACAATTCTCCCCTCGAACAAAGTACACTATAGAGCCTCCCTTGGGGCCTATGAAGCTCTCGAACAGTCTCCCCATAATTAAAGTTCTAGAGCCCTCGAACAAAGTACACCCTTTGTTTGACACTTGAGTCACTTTCTGACTATACTTTCGAGGCTCACGACTTCTTTGTTTGACATTTGAGGATTCTATTAACATGGCTAAGTTAAGGGCATGGCTCTGATACCATGTTGAGAATGACAAACCTCCACAATGGTATGATATTGTCCACTTTAAGCATAAGCTCTCATGGCTTTGCTTTGGTCTCATGCCAATGGAGGTAGTCAATGTGGGACTACTCATGTTCTTCCTCTTAAGTAGTCAACGTGGGACTACTCTTTTTAATAATCCTCAACAATCCTCCCCTCGAACAAAGTTTACCATAGAGCCTCCTCTGAGGCCTACAGAGCTCTCGAACAACCTTCCCTTAATCGAGACTCGACTCATTTCTCTGGAGCCATCGAACAAAGTACTCTCTTTGTTCGACACTTGAGTCACTTTTGACTACACCTTCGAGATTTCACACGTGCATCAGGAACAAAATTCTAGTCTAAGAAGTATGTATATTTAAACAAGCTAGAAAATGTAGTTAAACAATAATTTTCTCATATCTCATTCCATAAAGATGGCCATGACAATCAGGATACTTCCAGCATTCTCTTGGAAAAAAAGGATGGTGGGACCTGCAAAACAGCAGCACTACAATGTAAACCTTGAAAAGTTACCACACATTAAGGTAAAGATGTAAGCCCAAAGAGGGAAAAGAAAAATAAGAAGCATAAATTATGCTGTTGAAGGGGAAAAACAGACAAATATACGGTTAAAATAACCAGTAAAAAAGATAAATGAAAGATGAATATCCCCATAACGAATAAATCAATTGAAAACAAGCATGAATGAGAAATTCCACTTTAAAATTTAAGCACAACCGAAGAGAAATTTTCGATTTTCGTTCAGATCACTACATGTAATAGCCCAAGTCCACCACTAGCAGATATTGTCCTCTTTGAGCTTTCCTTTCGGACTTCCTCTCAATGGTTTTAAAACGCGTCTACTAGGAAGAGGTTTTTACACCCTTGTAAAGAATGCTTAGTTCCCATCTCCAACCGATGTAGGATCTCACAGTCTACCCCCTTCAGAGCCCAGCATCCTCGCTGGCGCTCATTCCCCTCTCCAATCAATGTGAGATCTCTTACTCCACCCCCCCTTCGGGGCCCAGCGTTCTCACTAGCACATTGCCCGGTGTCCACTCCTCTTCGGGACTCAGCGTCCTTGCTGGCACTCCGCCCGATGTCCACCCTCTTCGGGGCTCGGCGTTCTCGTTAGCACACCACCTAATGTCTGGCTCTAATACCATTTGTAATAGCTCAAGCCCACCACTAACAGATATTGTCCTATTTGGGTTTTTCCTTTCGGGCTTTCCCTCAAGGTTTTTAAAACGCTTCTACTAGGGAGAGGTTTTCACACCCTTATAAAGAATGCTTTGTTTTCCTCTCCAACCGATATGGGATCTCACACTACACGACTACCGTTAAAGAACAGTTATATTCCAACTCTATCAAACTTTTGATTCAAATCATCTACAACCACTTAGAGCCTTATATCAGCCACATGTTAAAGCCTGCATGAGTCCAGTAATCACTATGGCAGATGGAAATTCCACAAGATGTTAGAACCTCCAAGAGAAAAATCTCTATTTCTTAATTCAAAATAAGCCCCAATCCACAAGTATAAATCCAGCATGTGATACCCAGCAACATCAATACTAAATTCCATATTCATCCAATACATTGTTCTAATTAATGCAACATTTGAAAGAACTTTTACATTCCTAAGGACAAAAATGCAGTACAAATCAAGCTATCCAACAGTCTCTCACGCACCCCCACGAGATTCCCCTAAACAAGTACAACAACATCCCCTAGCAATACTATGAGATCCCACATTGGTTGGAAGGGAACGAAACATTTCTTATAAGGGTGTGGAAACATCTCCCTAGTAGATGCATTTTAAAACCGTGAGGCTGACGACGATGCATAACGAGCCAAAGCGGACAATATCTACTAGCGGTAGGCTTGGGCTGACTGTTATAAATGGTATCAGAGTCAAACACTGGGTAATGTGCCAGCGAGGACTTTAGGCCCTCAAGGGGAGTGGATTGTGAGATCCCACGTCGAGAACGAAGCATTTCTTATAAGGGTGTGGAAACCTATTCCTAGTAGACGCGTTTTAAAACCGTGAAGTTGACGGCGATACGTAATGGACCGAAGTAGACAATATCTACCAGTGGTGGGCTTGGGTTGGTTGTTACAAATGGTATCAGAGCCAGACATTGGGTGATGTGCCGACAAGAATGCTGGCCCCCTAAGTGGAGTGAATTGTGAGATCCCACATTGGGAACCAAGCATTTCTTATAAGAGTGTGGAAATCTCTCCCTACTAGAGACGATTTAAAACCGTGAGGCTAACAGCGTTACGTAACGGGCCAAAACAGACAATATCTATTGGCGGTGGGCTTGGACTAGGTTGTTACAAATACCCGAGACATCAATATTCTTAATCATCCTCAATTCCTCCAACACAAATGGATCCTCCACAAATTTTGAGCTAAACTTATCTACCACAGATTTGATTAACTTAAGCATCCAAACTTACTCGTCAATAATTGAACAACAGAGCATCCCAACAAATCTAATCAACACCCTGCATTTCAAACCACTACCTACAGAAGATAAACATAAAACAAAGCCATCTCGAGCACTAACCAAATAACCCAACGACAAAACAAAAACAAGATCCGACAGCCCCAAGTCCAGAAAGCAGCTCAGAGTCACAAAAAAACAGAACACACCCACATCACCTAAACCTCACCGGCAAAACCCATCAAAATTCAATCACGAAAATCGACAAAAAACCGAATGAGAAACAAAAAGAGAAGGATCAAACCTCGGCAATCGGGGAAGAGTTTGATGAACCATGAGTGAAGGCGGACACCATCAGAAGATCGAAGCCACACATCTTCATAAACAAGCCGAAGCCGAGATGGGTTAATCGCGTACGATTTAGTAAGCCCCGGAAGAACCGGCACATAAACCAATCTCTCCTGGAAAGCAACCAGTAACGCCATTCCAGCGACCACCAAGCCTCCGACGCCATAGAGTAACACATTCACATAAGAAACCATACTCGATCTCCCGTTGCCGTTGGGTTTTGTCGTTTTCCCTCGATTTGAAAATTGAAATGGGGAAAATTCAAGAGATTTTGGGGATTTGGGTTTGAAGTTCGGAGTAAAACTAAACTTTGGTTGATACTTAATTTGCCAATGAAGGGTTACACAGTGTGTGCTCGTTCGCGCTCCTCGCGCAGTGACATTGGCAGGCAATGCTTATGGCTATGGCGCCGCTCTGCGTGAGCTTTGTACCACACTCTACCAAACAAAGAAGGGTTTAATGAAGCTTTGGTTGCGTGGCCGAGGCTCCTTCAGTAATTTAACAAAAAGAAATGTATTTTTTTTCCAACTTTTCATTTTAGCGGGAAAATCCGACAATGAACAAGAAAAAGTTGTTCCTTAGAACATCAATGGGTTCCACAAAATGGCAAAAAAATGAGCAAACATTACCATATTATTGTACTTTGTGTACTAAAAAAATTACCAATTTAGTCCTTAAATTTTTTATTTTATATCTAATAAATCTAAATACAAATAAATAATAAATAAACGTCTAATAAAAAATATTTAATTATTTTTATTATTTTAATAAAATGTAGAAATTTATGAGGATCCCAACCTTTTCAAAAAATAAAAAATAAATAAATAACACGTGGACAGAGTAAAATTACAATATTGCCCCAATATAATATTGAAGGCCGTACAAAATAAAAATACTCATAAATTAATTTTCTAAATTTAATTACGAGACTTTAAAACATATAATATTTTAATTGACTGAGAATGTCTGGATAAATGTCAATTTAAGCTCAATTCATTCGTATTCTAATTATGATATTCTTAAATCTATGATTCGGAGAGTTATTAATTAGTACTACAAAATTCAATAATGATAGAATAAATAAATTTAGTTTTTTTTTCGGCTCGATCAATTAAAGTGTCAGTGAGTTATGTTGGAAACGGATCGTTCTTAATCTATAAATTTATAGTTTAATAAAATATAGTAAAATATTAGATGTTCAAATAATATGTTAATAGGATCATAACTCAACTACTTAAGACATATAATTTTTTATCATAAAATTAGATATTCGAATTTTTCGTGTTTATCGATGCTTGAAGTAAAAAGGTGGAATTATAAATTTTTTTAATAAGTGTTTAAATGGGTCTCTATCATATTGAATAATTTTTTTTAAAAAATAAATTTAAAATTTAAAATGACTTTGATGAGCCGAAAATATTGGTTCACCATTTTGGGCCGGAATTCCAACAAGCTTTTGGGCCTAATTGACTTTCATGGCCCATTGGGCCAAGAAAAAGCCTTAAAGCCCAAAAAGTAGACGAGAATTTAAGGTAAAAGTGGGGTCTATCATTCCTACTCCCTTCTGCTGACGTGTAACTTTTGGATATTTTGCTTACTGTGGAAGAATTCTTCGTTGCAATACCGCGTAAAGGAAGTTTCTGAGGAGACCAGAGGAAAAGGATTTGGAAGCAGAATCCTTCTTCAAGCCGCCATTGAAGTCAGGCATTTCATCGACAGCCAAGACCATTGATCGGATCGTCTTTATTGAGATTTTGATATATTCGTTTCCACCGTTTCAGTTCAGATTTTCTTTGTTCAATCCGATCGGCCGCGATGAGTTTATTCTTTGGCAAGCGGAAAACTTCGGCAGGTATGTTCTCCGATCAGGATTTTTGTTTTCTCTGTTGATGATTTTTCCGCTCTGCTTTCAATTTTTTAATTTTTCCTTCTTTCTGGCGGATTTTTTTTGGTGTTGTTGCATTTAGTAGTGAGGTAATTAGTTTTGATTTCTGGAGTTTATGGTTTAATTTAGTTGATCATGATGTCTACGGTGTTAGAGGTCTTCATTTCGCCTACTTTGGGAAGTTCGTTTTCCAATATGTTAATTGCATGTAGATGCTGATTCAGTGTCGATATGGTTTTGATTCCTCTTTTTTCGTGTTTTGATTTCTAGACACTGGACCTAATTAATTTTGGCTTTGTAGATAGTCTTTGAAGAGATGCTTTGTTAATGTTCAGTGATGAGAATTTGAGCTTCATTTTTCCCTGTGTACTGATTTAGCCATGATGAGTTGAAAGGTGTTTACACCGTTTCCTTGTGATCAATAAGCAAACTGCATTATTTATTATGTTTGATTTATAATTCTTCCTTGTTCGTTTGTCTTCCACTGATCTTTTAACTGCATCAAGCGTCCAGCATCACGGCTTTGATGCCAAAGCATTAAAAGTAATAAATCATTTTAGCTTCACTGTTTGAACTCTTAGAATTAGCAACAAATTACTATCATATATAAAGCTATAGATATTAAGTTCATATCTCAATATTGTTAGGAGTTCTAAGAATTAGTATAGAAACGCCGACTCTCTGTTTGGTGTTAATTCAACACAAGGAATGGTTAACATAGCATTGCTGCCATTAAACTATTCATTGTAGTAGCCAATGTTATGGCTTCTGATATTGTGTACATTATTGTCAATCCAGAACTCCTCCGGGAAAATAAGAGGATGCTGGACAAATCGATCAGAGAAATTGAAAGGGAGAGACAAGGTCTTCAAACACAAGAGAAGAAATTAATTGCAGAGATTAAGAAAAGTGCCAAGCAAGGGCAAATGGTATGTAATCTTTAATTGTTCCTATCCGTACTTCACAATTTATTTTTGTGAAAATACCATTCTTATTGTGACTCCATAATTTTAATCATTGTGATTTTCTGAAGCTGGGACAGTTTGTCCATCACAGTCGGAAGGAGAAGTCTTTTACGAATCATTAATATTTGGAAGTATTTATCTTAGATGTGCTTAAATGTGAGATCCCACATCGATTGTAGAGGGGAACAAATCATTCAAAATCTATCCCTAGTAAACGCGTTTTAAAACCGTGAGGCTGACGGCGATATGTAACGGACCGAAACAAACAATATCGGCTAACGATAAGCTTGGGCTGTTACAAATAATATCAGAGCCCGACACTAAGCAGTCTGTCAACGAGGACGCTGGCCCCAAAGGGGCTGGATTGTGAGATCCCATATCAGTTGGAGAGGGGAACGAAACATTCCTTATAAGGGTGTGGAAACCTATCCTTAGTGGATGCGTTTTAAAACTGTGAAGTTAGGGCCAAAGCGGACAATATCTCCTAGCAGTGGGCTTGGGCCGTTACATTATATCATCTTATTGTTGTTGGATGCATTCAACACATTTTCTTCGCTCGTCTTCTCCTTATTCGACAACAAGTTTCCTTTGGTGATGCATATCATACATGGAAATGTCGAAGACTAAAACAAAGAAGAGGAAAACATAATAACACGCTTCATATGCTTCACAATTGTTCTTTTTAGAATTACATCTCACTTGGGTATGATTATGTTACTATTGCAGGGAGCTGTTAAAGTGATGGCAAAAGATCTCGTTAGGACCAGGCACCAGATTGAAAAATTCTACAAGCTCAAATCACAACTTCAGGGCGTATCCCTTAGAATTCAGGTACAGTTTGTTTCATGACTTATTCATTCCATTGGCACAAGAGCATACCGATCATACCGATCATGCCGATCATGCCGATCGTATGTGCTGCAGTATTGACATCTCATATTTTGTACAGCACTTTACATATTATGAGTGGTGACCTTTTTCTTGATAACTTAAGATTTTTGTTAAACCCCCCCTTTTTAGACTTTGAAGTCGACTCAAGCAATGGGAGAAGCGATGAAAGGTGTGACAAAGGCAATGGGACAAATGAATCGGCAGATGAACCTGCCATCCCTGCAGAAGATTATGCAAGAATTTATGAAACAGAATGAAAAAATGGAACTGATGACTGAAGTGATGGAAGATGCAATCGATGACGCTTTGGAAGGGGATGAGGAAGAGGAAGAGACCGAAGAATTGGTCAGCCAAGTTCTTGATGAGATAGGAATTAACATGAACCAAGAGGTAACATATTATCATTAGCAAACCTCATTTCTTTTGCTGGTGCATTGGATCAACCTCACTCTAAATGAATAACTGATTTAACCATTTTTCAATTTAAACAGCTCGTGAACGCACCATTGACTGCTGTTGCTGCACCCGCGACGAAGACAAAGGTTGCACAAGCAGAAGCAACAGGCAACGACGACGGTGGAATAGACAACGATCTTCAAGCCCGACTCGACAATTTAAGGAGAATGTAAATGTAAGATCTTCATTTCTTGTGTTCCTTTCCAACCTGACCTTATTAGGGACCATTTATTCCACTGCCATGATTTTCTGACCTTGTTTTGGCTATTATGAAAGACATAGGAATTTAAGCTTTTTTTACAGTTACCATGAGATCCTTATGTACCATCTTCAAATATAGCTTACGAATGTCTTACATATTGTGTATATATATACATATATTGGTTTCCATACTCGGTTAAATTATCTCGTGTTCGGTTTTAATTTAGTCCCTATAATTTTAGAGGTTTCAATGCGTCTCTAAATGTCACAACCAAATATCGGTTGTTGAATGTCATAATTTCAATACTCTGATATCAATTGTTGTAGCAAAAGTGGGAGTAAGATCGATCATACTCATACACCCACAAATTTAAATTAAACACAGAGACACAAAAACTTGCGTGATTTGGAGAGAAGAAATTCTCGTACATCATGGGTGGTAAACAATCACTATAACAAAAAAATGTAAATGTTTACACAAGTGTATCTCCCACAGTCTCACGCTACAAAGTTTTTCTTGAACACAATATGACAACGACTTCACATCTTAAAACAACGTTAAACAAATCTTTATGAGAGACTGTACTAATATGGGAGATGAACTATATGAAACCAATAAATCCATGAATCGAAGTAGAAAATGTACCAAAAATATTTATGAACGAAATTTTTGTGACAATTATTAACAACAATAATTATACACTAGCCGTGTACTCTTCATCGAGAAGTCGAAATCGGTATTGAAAAAAATGGCTCACTAATTAGAGGTCCTACCTAATGAATACACCCCCAACTAAAACTCCAAGTCTTCTTTATCCTCATCCATTGGACACACAAACAACATCACAGATGAGAATCAGAATTTTCCAAATCCAACCACCCATTTCAAGATTATGAACATCTTTTCTTTCCCAAAGAAAGTTTCAAACCAAGCCACCGGATTCCGGCAACCCATGCCCTGAATTCCCCTGTTGCTCCGCCGCGGTTTGGCGTTTGCTCAACCCCGGCACCGCCACCGGAGCACGGCAGAGGGGGCAATCACAGTGAGAAAAAAGCCACATATCTATACAACAAGCATGAAACATATGCATACATCTCGGCAGTTTCTTAACCTCTTCCCCCTCCTCAAACGCCGACAAACAAACCACACATTCATTCCCATTCCCTTCTTCTTCGGCCGCCGCCGCCGCTGCAGACCCCTTCTTGAACTTAAAGCTGCACAACAAATTCCTATTCGAGCTCTGCAAGCTACGGCTTGAATTCACCATCTCCGCATAACTTCCAGCCAGCGCCGGCGAAGCTCGGCCACGACGGTTGTCGGAACACCACATGATAACGATGAAATTGTAAAGAACTAACACAATCGCCGCCGTTCCGATTACCACAAGGCCGTAATACAACATGGGTAGGCTTGATTTTGCTGGATGAGACGTTGGTTGAGCAAAATAATTTGAAGCAGAATCACTCATTTCTGGATCCGAAGAAGAAGAAGAAGAAATCACAGAGATTTGTTTTGTGGGTTTTTTTGGGAAGAACAAGAAGAAGAAGAACAACAATCAAGGCGGATTGAATTAATATTAAGAAGGTTTTTAATTCATTGAATGAGATAAACTGTAAGCTTCCAAAGAATGAAGACAAAACAGAGTACAATCAGAGGATAGAGAAACAAAATTGAAACCCATGTTAGACGATGAAAGCTCTACGTCCGCTAATTTAGAAAATATTCATGATTTATAATTAAAAATACTCTTTCCATTTGTACGAGCGTTTGTGAGAAAAGTAAAGTGGCCAATATTATCCCACTGAAAAACTCATCCATTAACCCCATATTTTTCTTTCTAATTATTATTATTTTTTTTTAATAATTGAATTGATTTATTCCAACTTTTTTGGTCTCAAAACGACAAGGAGTAGGGGCTAGAGAAGGCTTGGGAAGCAGAGGAAGGTTGTCGTTTTAATGGCGGAAAAGAAAAACAGAGGCGATAGGCTGAAAATTTCCATTTATTAAGTGGATATTTGGTTCAATTTAATTTAATGGAATTACGACATGTCGTATTCTGTGTCCACTCTAGTAGGAAGAGGAAAGGTCAACGTGACGTTGAACCCACTCTAAAATGAAGTGTCGTTTGGTCGAAGACGACAGGACCAACCGGCTTTAGTTTAATTTGGTGGTATTATTAATTTATAATTGCGAAAGGTTGACAAAATTTGTCCTTATCTACTTACCGCTTTCCAAAAATAATCAGAAATATATATATTTTTTATTTAATTTGAATTTTGTTTAAAAAATTCAAATACTTTTTAAAATATTTGATATAAACTTAGAAGTATCCAGATATCCATGATATACCATTATCCTCATTGTTTTTAACCATAACCCGAAAAAAGAGGGATGGGTTGGATCCTCATTGCTTTTAACCATAACCCGACAAAAGAGGGTTGGGTTACCAATCCAACAACCCGAACTTTTGGGTTGGGTCAAAAAAATCCGTCAACCCAACCTAAACTCAGACCATGTACAACTGGTTTAGACAATCCTCCATTTATCTATAATATATTAAGTCACATTTTTTTATGAAGTATAATCTTAGTTGGTTAGAGTCTCTACCAATAAATAAATTAAAAGGGTATATTGGTAAATATATCAATAATCCCAGTTGTCGACCTTCTTTTTTTTTGTGAGTTCTGAGAATACACCGTTTAATAGATACGAGATCTATATCTTTGAATTGAAAGTTCTGAATGATCAAATCTAGAATTAGTCATTAGAATCAATAGGTTTAAAAATCAGACTTATTATCTCATAAACTTAGTTTTACTTAACTGTCGAGTAACGAAATTAGACTTCTATCTCCGAGTTTAACTCATATGTAACTCAGCTTCTTTTTAGAAGCACCGACAAACCAAAATATCAGAGGTTTGGTTGACTATATCTTTTCTAGTGGATGGCAGACCTGCTCCCACATTAACTAAGAAGGGAGCAGTAAAAGCAACGGGAGGAATTACTCGGATACCAGTAAACGTGATTTATTTAAGTGGGAGCACCGGCTCTCTACATAACACGGCGCTCCGAGGGACCCTCGTTCAAGAAGTCCAATAGAGGGTTACGAGAAATAACATAAGTATAGCTCGATTAATTTTTGGTATATACCTTCAATCCAATGTTGGCTTCTCATGAGGGCTGGCCCTGTGACAAACGGGTTTGGGCCAAATGGGCCCAAATCCTGAAGATTAGGTCCATATTTCATAAATGTCCAAATCGGCCTGAAATTTACTAAAAAGCCCATGACCCAATTACCTTTTTGCCCTCTTAAATGTATCATAATATTTACCTACAAAAAAAAAATAATATTACCGTTTTTTAAATTATGACCTATAAATTTTATTTTATTTTATTTCCGAAAAGGAGATTTTTTTTTTATTTGAAAAAATAAAATTATATGAATAAATTAATCCACGACATTATTATTAGGGCACACGTGTGTTTTTCTTTTTCTTTTTCTTTTAAATAAAATAAATGTTTTTTTTTAAATTGATGTTTTGCCAGGTGGCGTGGCTATGGGTCCAATGGCAGACCTTTTCTTTTTCATAAAGCTATAATAAAAAAAATAAATAATAAATAAATAAAGTGAAATAGTTATTTAGAATTAATTATTTTGTATTTTCAATAAAATTTTAAAAATAGTTATTGCCGTTATTTTAATTATGGTTAATTTTGGAAATATGTGTGCTTTTTTCCCATAAAATTATAATAATTATTTAATAAAAATTGCCAAATTTAATAGATAAAAATTCAGAAATTAAACTTGTAAATAAAATTATTAATTTTATTTCGAAACTTTTGACTTAATATTAATATTTTGGATTAAGTTATATTCATATTCTGGGGGTTTAAATTATAAAATACAAAAGTATAGGGACTGATATTTAAATAAATTAGTTCGGTGGAGCGATTTTTAATTATATATATATATTTTAAAATTCTAGGGGTAAATTCGTAATTTAATTTTAGCTTATTTAAAAAAATAATTAAACCCGCGAAACAAGAATGGAACAGTCCAGTGCTCAGCTCCTTGCATCTTCCATGTTCGTCTTTGTCAAGAACTTGCGGCGCCCTCTGTTCCCCGTTTTTCTCACCGGTTTCCAACCACTGCATCTTCTTCTTCTTCTTCTTCTTAGAGTCGTATTTGTTCTTGTTTCTCTTTCGTTTAAGTTTCGTGTCTGAAAGCAATGGAAAGTGGCCACTCTTATTGACTTTCCTTGGGTTTTCTGAAGGTATTTTCGAGGCGCGACAAGCGGTGTGAAGTCAGAATCCTAGAGTTTTTTGTTGCCAGGTTTTGAATATTCCTCTTGCTTTTTATGTGGCATCCAGCCATGTTTATCTGTTCGATTTGAACTTTGGTACTGCTTCTGTTGCATTTAAGGTTTTGATTTTGCTGCAATTTTGTTATGGCTTGAAGTTGAACCTAGAATGTTATGTTAGTAAGAGGTTAACTTAGAGGTGTGAAAGAAGAAAATGGCGGATAAGAAAGGGATGGAACAAGTTGTTTTACGGATTTTGGATGGCGAAGAAGGAGTCGATGCAAGGAATGGTCTCACTAATGGCTCTGTTGCTTCTTTTCCTGATTTTGAGCCAAAAGAAACTCGGAGTCTTAGGTGCGCAATCACGCAATCCGTGGTTGAGAGCTCTCCTTCACACGAGATTTCCAGAATGAGTTCATCGAAACCTCCAAAAATTCCTGTCGAATCGGCAGTTCGACGCCCATCATTTGCTCGATCTTCGTTTTCAAAACCGAAATCAAGGCTAATAGAGCCGCCTCGTCCTGATGGTGCAAGTTTGGCGGAAGAAAATGCTCAAGCAAAATCAGCATCTGGTTCACCATTCTCTAGCTCTCCGAAGATGGACTCACCAGCTAAGATAGCCACTGCGACTAGTCCTAAAGAATCTTTGAAGTCTGCTCCGATAACTCCTAGAACACCATTGGTTGGATCTACGGGAAGTGAGGAGGAAGATGATGAAGAAGTCTACAAAACTGCAGAACTGAAAGTGAAAGAAAAATCAAGGAAGAAATTGAAAAGAGCAGTTGTAATTGAATGGATTGCATTTTTGTGCATAACAGCGTGTTTAATTTCCAGCTTAACAATAGACAAGTTGCTGACTAAAGAGATCTGGGGATTAGGACTGTGGAAATGGTGTGTTTTGGTATTAGTTATTTTCTGTGGCCGTTTATTTTCACAATGGTTTATCAATTGTCTGGTTTTCTTGATTGAAAGAAACTTTCTACTTAAGAGAAAGGTTCTTTATTTTGTCTATGGGCTGAGGAAGAGTGTTATAGTTTTTATTTGGCTGGCTTTGGTTCTTCTAGCGTGGGGTCTATTGTTTGATCAAAGCATCAAAAGATCTAAGAAAGTCAATGAGATTCTGAATTATGTTACACGAGCTCTTGCTGCTTCGCTAATTGGAGCAGGATTATGGCTGGTGAAAACTTTGTTGGTGAAGATACTAGCTGCATCTTTTCAATGCACTCGATTCTTCGATCGGATTCAAGAATCAATCTTCCATCAATATATCCTGCGCACTCTATCAGGACCTCCACTGATGGAGATGGCCGAGAGGGTTGGGGGAGCGGCAAGCTCAGGGCAATTGAGCTTCAGGCATTTGAAGAAAGAAAGAGATGGTGGGAATGAGGGGAAGGAAGAAGTGATTGATGTGGATAAACTCAAAAAGATGAAGCAAGAAAAAGTGTCTGCTTGGACCATGAGAGGGCTGATCAATGTTATTAGGAGTTCAGGGCTGTCCACCATCTCTAATACAATAGAGAATTTTAAAGAGGAAGAGGGTGAGCAAAAAGACAAGGAGATTAACAGTGAATGGGAAGCAAGTGCTGCAGCTTACCAGATTTTCAGGAACGTTGCGAAACCTGGTAGCAAGTGAGAATTTTATCTTCCGAACGATCTCGAATTTCCCTCTCCGTGGTATTCAAAGAATTTTGTTAACTAATGCTTTTAATTCGTGCCTGGTTAGGTATATTGATGAAGAGGACCTCTTTCGTTTTATGAACAAGGAGGAAATTGATAATGTGCTGCCATTGTTTGAAGGAGGGGTTGAGACTGGGAAGATAAAGCGAAAAACCCTTAAGAATTGGCTGGTAAATCCTTAGCATTTATCTTTTTGTTCAGAATAACTGAGGTCCTGTATTCAAATGCACAATTCTAAGCAAACCACTAACAAACCTGGTCCTTAGAAATGTATTTTTGATGTTGTAGGTGAATGTTTATATCGAACGGAAGTCGCTAGCCCACTCATTGAACGACACCAAAACTGCCATAGAGGAGCTAAACAGGCTTGCTTCTGCATTTGTACTGATTGTTATTATCATTGTATGGCTACTTCTGATGGGTTTCTTGACCACACAAGTACTCGTCTTCATTTCATCACAGCTTCTACTGGTGGTTTTCATGTTTGGTAACACTGCCAAAACTATATTCGAAGCAATCATATTCGTATTCGTGATGCATCCATTTGACGTGGGGGATCGGTGTGTTGTAGATGGTGTTCAGGTAACTTTCTCAACTCAGAATTTCTTGGATTCCATTGAATCAATCTCACCTGGTTTAATACTAACTTGCAGATGATTGTTGAAGAAATGAACATTTTAACCACAATTTTCTTGAGATATGACAATGAGAAGATCTTCTATCCAAATTCTGTTCTGGCCACCAAACCCATCAGTAACTTCTACAGGAGCCCCGAAATGAGTGATTCGATCGACTTTTCGGTTGACTTTTCCACATCAATTGAAAGCATTGGAGCCCTAAAAGCAAGAATAAAATCGTAAGTTTCATTCAGTTTCTCTATGCTAGTTGATCAACTGCAAGAAAGAACCAAGCCTTGTGATTGAAACAACATTTCAAATGGCTGATTCTTTTTTCAATGCTATTTTTAGTTCCTTATCATTTCAAAGCACCCATTTGCTTGACATAACAGAATTGTTTCTCAGATATCTTGAAAGCAAACCTCAGTTCTGGCGGCCGAACCACAGCGTGATCGTGAAGGAGATCGAGAATGTCAACAAGATGAAACTGAGTCTATACATCAATCACACCATAAACTTTCAGAACTATGGTGACCGGAGCAGTCGCAGATCGGATCTAGTCTTGGAGCTGAAGAAAATTTTCGAAGATCTGGGCATCAAGTATCATCTGCTACCTCAAGAAGTCCAGCTCAACTATTTGAGTTCAGTAGCTCCCATGGTTTCGACAACCTTGCGGAGATGACGGAGATGAAGGTTCGTTCTTTCCGCTCTGTTGTTCATTTACTTAAGATAAACTCTCAAATACAGTGGCTGACTATATCATGTCCTGTTGATTCAATGGCTTTCATGAGAACAAGAGGGGTAGAGAAGATGTAGTTTCTGATTTGAGCTGCATCTCAGTAAGGAAAAGGAATTGTAAAACGTTAGTTAGTTGTTCTAAACAAATTTCTAAACAAGAGGATGGATTACTAAATGAATTGCACTTTCTTTCTTCATCTTCAACCCATTGGGGACTGTTGTGGTTGAAGCTGCATAATGTTGATTTACATTACAGACAAATATCATTTTTCATACTCCAAAAATGAACTAAAACTTGAAAATGGTTAGAACTAAAACTTAAAAATTGTTAGAATAACACAACTCTCCCAGTAGTATGATATTGTCCACTTTGAACCTAAGCTCTCGTAACTTTGCTTTGGGTTTCCTCAAAATGGTGATGAGTCATTCCAATGGAGAGAGTATTCTTGATTATAAATGTATTAGCTGACGTGAGACTTTCATCATCCAACAAAAATAATAGTTAAATTTACAGTTTATTATTTACATTTTTTAGTTTTTATATTTGATATTTTTAAAATGTGTAAATCTGTTATACTGAAACTAAATTTTTAGGATAGTTTTAGAATTTCAGAGAGTTGGTAGGTACACAGTTCAAATTTAAGAAACTAAATTGGTAATTTAATCTAAAATAAAACTAAGAAAAAAAAAAAGAGAGAGAATAAAAGTAACATCTAATCAATGGCTTCCACTTTAAAGACAAATAAAACAAAAAAACGACGAATAGGATAAGGCTATCCGCCAATAAGGCATAAAGAAGTTGCCACGTCGGATAGAGATGAAGATTTCGAGCTCTCCCAAAATCTCCCCAATTTCCGCCTCTCCACCGCTTTTCTACTTCCTTGGCCCACTTCCGAAACCAAAATCCCCAATTCCGGAAATTCGCAGAGCTTTCGAATCATATCAATGGCTTCCACTTCTACAGTTTCACTGGCCCTGCCATTGACTAACGCCACCCACAAGAGACTGTCCAACCACGCCTTCTTCAATCCATTGCCTGCTTCTTCTTCTTCGAGGTCTCGCAAGGCCATCGCCGCCGCGCCGACATCTAGCGGGAGGCTCGTCGCAGTCCGATCGTCCTTGAAGGAGAAGGCCATCACTGGACTAACCGCCGCAGCTCTGACGGCGTCGATGGTAATTCCGGAGGTTGCAGAGGCTGCAGGACCTGGAGTCTCACCGTCGCTGAAGAACTTCTTGCTCAGCATTGCTGCCGGTGGAACTGTGGTGGTGGCCATATTGGGGGCTGTGATAGGCGTCTCCAACTTCGATCCGGTCAAGCGTGGTTGAGTTGTAATTCTTTGTTTCTGCATTAATCTTCATCCATCATTTTTTGCTGCAAGCTGCTAAAAGTAATAAATGTATGGATTTAAACATTTTAACTTCTTTCACCTATCATTTTCTTCATTTCCCTACCTCTCCTCTCTCTCACCTGTTTAATATTCCATTCATCCATGGCGCTTTCATCATACATATATAAATATACATACATAATATATATATATATAGATAAATTATAAGTGTTTGATGTTCAAAATGAGAAGGAAATTAAAACTATTATTAAACGGAACAATGAAATTTAACTACGGATAAAAGTTCAGATGAGAAGTCAAGATTAGAAGACAAGCAACTGAAATAACATTAAATTTAAATCAGAAAGCTACTAGGGAAGAACGCGATGTTTTGAAGGAAAAGGGCTACAAACATTATCAAATACCATCAATCAAAAATTTGAATTCTAGTATGTAGAGAGATGAACAATCAACCTACTTCATAAATTATATTCAAACAAAAGCAAAACGATTTTCTTTGAATAAATGAAACGAGATTAAAGTACATCCAAGAGTAGAAGAAAATTGAAGTGATTTACTAAGTTGCATCAAGAGAGGGCCAACTATTCAAAACGTTTTTGAGTTTGATATCAACTTGGAAGAAACTGATCTCTACAACATAGTAAGAACATCAAAAGTGCAGACAGAGGCATTTGAAGAAATGTGTTTGTGACAACTTCTACAAGAAGGAAGAAAGCGATTTTCCAACCTTCCAAACTGTAGAGGATGCAAAGTTCATGTTGTCATCTTCCGACACAAAATTGGTTTTAGAAATAACCAATTTGCTTTATGGATGACTGAAATATATTACCCACTCAATAATGACATCGCTCATTTGAAAGAAAAAAAAAACTCTCAAGACAAAATCAAAGTCTCAGAAAGGATTTCCAGTTCAAGGGCAGATACATTAGAAATGTGTTCGTGCAACCTCTACTTGAAAAATGGAAGAGATTTCCAGTCTTCAAAATGAATAGAGGATGCACAATTCATGTTGTCATCTTCCGACACAAATTTGGCATAGAAGTTTCCTATTTGCTTTATAGATGACAAAAGTATATTGCCTCATGATTGATTACATAGAACATTGAATAGTCTGTAAAGGATCAAGAAATTGTGGGATTCCAAACCGTGGACATGTATCCCCCATGTGTTACGCAGTGAAAACAAAATTGTTTCACAAAGGATAATGGTACGGAGGAACTCCATTTCGTCATCCTCAGACACAGAGTTGATATAATATAACCAACCTGCTGTAAAGATGACAATATTGAACCAAAAATAGTAACAAACAAACCTTCAGTCATGCTCCATTTTAACCCCGACGCATCTTGTTTACAAGAACAGAACAATCATTGAAGAAAAATAGTTAAAAGAATATTCAGTGCACGAAAACGATACATATTTGTAAGACGTCAAGGCAATCGATTGCAAGCAGTGATCAACCATAGCATATATTATCTAATTTGGTAGATTTACCTAATCAACTTCAATGAGATTAAGAAGTCTTTATGATTACTTGCAGCAGCAATTCGAGTGGAAAACTGTGTAAAATAAAATCTCAATGCATAGTAAAAAAATAGCTACCTCTTCAGAGTGATAATAACATGAACGTATGCAAAAAGATCACGCAAGAGACATCAAACCTCTCCCTCGTAATCCAATTCCTAAACATTATAATATACGATCCTGACTGTTCTTTATCCTTATAAAACAGAACAAAGAAATCGAAATAGCCTTGGGACGTTGGGGAAGAAACAACGCTCTCGTCTTCACAAACATTATACTAAGTTAATTTGGTTCACACGATAATATCCAAACTCTGTAGAAACTCTAAAAATCATCGTGGTAACTCAAAAACAATAAATTAAGAATCAACAATTCATCTATGAATAAAGATTGATAAAGTTAGAGAGCGAGAGAGCAGAACAGTGAACGAGAACTGAGAGTCGCTTTGTTCTTCCTCGCACCGCCGTGGTTTCGCGACGTTAGAGAAAGGTAAGGGGATTAGAAAAATTATTGCAGAAATGAGAAGATGGCCGCCATTGTCAAGATGGAGAAGGAGGGTTTTGGAATTACAGAAACCCTAATTTCGGTGGAGGATTGTGGCGCAAATTGGGCTTTTATAGGAATAAGGGAACAACGTCTCAGGGGCGTTTTAGGGTTTTCACCTTATTTTATTTGAAAAATAGCCCAATTCAAATCTAATTATAAATCCTTTTGGCGCACTTTAATGTTCTGAAGTTCTATTTAGACTTAAGGCGCCAAAAAGATACAATTTGTATCGAAAAATAGCCTAATTCCTTCCCGTTTTACCCCTATCAACAAACCTTAAATTTTTTTAAATGTAACTAAATATACAATTAATTTTTTATTAAAAAATTTAAGACTTTTATTACTGCAAATCTTAATTAAATATTTAAAAATAAATAAATATATTTTTATTAACTCACATTTTACTTTTATTAATAGCAACATTTTGAATAAATGATTTGAACAACCTGAACCAATGAAACCCAGAAAAAGTATGGTTGGGTTAGGTTTTAAAATGTCACCACTTGTCACAATCGCAAATTCCAACAACAAGTGAGCTAAGCCAATTTGTTCTTACGTCGCCTACGGCCAAACAACGTATGCTCGAGTCGCTAACCTCGATTTAAGAAGAAGGTTTTAGAAAACGAGGGCAGAAAGAGATTTTGAAAGAGACGTTATATAAGCAAGCAAGAGAGTAACAACAACAATTCCCAGTATATAACTTTTGATAGGGAGAAGTTGACCCATCTCAACCCATGAACACCCTTAACAAAATAGTCTTACCCAATTATAAGAATTCACATATTAAGTCACAAATTTCCAAAAACGAATCAACAAAAAAAAACAAATAGAAATCTAATCTTAAGCGGGTGAGAAAAGTAACACAATACATTGACCTACCGATATCAAGACACGTAAAAAAAAAAAAAAAAAAAACAAAA